CTTTCGATATTCACAAAACCAGACAACATTATCGTATATGTATTACAATCTCTGAGATATTTTTGTAGTCCCACATCTCCATACTTAAAATTTTAACTTGCATCTCTGATATAGTCTTACACCCAATGCAACATCTTTCCATTTATCCACCACCAAATTCTAATTTCCCATTGTAACACAGATATGTTTTTATATATTTTTTATGATCGATCATAAAAATAATGTTCATACAATCAACGCTAATCAATCGCAGCGAAAATAAAACACCAAACCATACATTTTTCTGGGGAAGAAGAAAGAAAATCCATCATCCATCCACAAACTGCAGATCATCATCGTCGTCGTCGTCACATGAACAAATCACATAAAACACAACACTCAATATACAACCCATTGACGTACACATACATACATTCAACACATGTATGCCGTTGTGTTTTTGCAACATTCAACATTCTGAACTAGCTTACTTTCATACATATTTGAACCTGAACTTGCCACAATTTTATTGTGAAAAAAAAAACTCGGACTGGCTGACTGACTAAGAGACTGGTTTTTTTATTGGTGGCTGGCACGGTCTTTAGAAACAGAGAAAAAAATGAGAATATGTCTTCTACCAAATTATTTCAGGAGTTTCTTTAATGATATCGATTTTTGGGTTCTCCTCTTGCAGAAGTGTTTTATTTTTGTAAAGAATATTTTTTGAAAATTTTTCCCGTTATTTTGTTTTGTTTTTTTTTTCATTCCAAGTTTCAAAACACTGTCACAAATATTTTATGCATTTTAACATTTGCAAATCGCCTTGCAACATGAACAGCGTCAACACAAACTCTCGCACTCTCAGATGGGCTCAGTTTTCATCTCAGGAAAGCAAAAACAAAAACTATCCATTGGATAGATGGATGGATTGGTTGTTCCATGGAGATGCTGGTATAACATCGCACAAAAAAAAGAGAAGAGAAAAGATTTGCACAAAAACACTCGTGGCATGTTGTAAGTAGGTAGAGATAAAGCGAAAACAAAAGCATGTTGCATTTCCAAGAACCAACAGCAACAACAACACCAGAATTGAAGCTCAATATTATACATGTATGCGAATAATTTTTCCTGCAAAACGTGAGTATGCACCTTAGTAAAACATACACATATATAAGTATTAGGGTTGAATGTGGATAATGAGTATGAGGGATACAAGGTATTTTGATTTTGCTGCGGGGATGTCCGTCCATTTGATGAGAATCATTTAATGAGAATCCATTTGATGAGAATCATTTTAAAATTTATTCAAGGAAGTTTCCTGACGAATCCAAAGGCCATAGCACTGATAACCAAATTTTTTTGTAAAATGTCTAAATATTGGGCTTTATAAAATCTTTAATTACTGTTTATTTAAAATTTGGACGAAGACAGTAATAAGTGTTGCAATTTAGTTGTTGGTTGACGTTTCAGAGCGCTTACCATACAAAGGACCCTGAATAAGTAATTATATACCAGAATAAGTAACTATTCTATACCATAAAATCAATATTTACCACTATATTTGTATTGTTATTATTTTTAATAACAAAATATTTCATATATACTTTAGTATATAACGTATGTATTGATTTATCAATCATCAGATTTTCAGAACATACATCAGGAATAAATTAAATATTGTCTTCCCAAATGTACGATATCGTATCATACATGTTATAATTTCGGGCCTTTATGTTCAAGGCTGTTCAAGTATATAACATAGTCGGATTGTTAGTCTGAATTTAGATTAGGCGAGTTTACTTGCGGCAAGTTTTTGTTTGCTGGAGAGAGGGGCAAGGGGAATAGAAATTGAAAAAAATTGCTCGTACCGACAATTTTCTGGCAATTCGTTTTGTGTATTTTGTTTGTAGTGTCAATAATTTGAAATACCAATCAAGAATATTGTCAAAAAAGAAATATTTTTGAAACCGAATTGCCTTGTATAGACGCATGAAGCAAGTTCAAAAGAGAACGATAATAATTGCCGCTAGTAAACTCGCCTAATCTAAATCAGGACTTATATAAAATACTGAATAAAATACTTATTTGACACGGTTCTTCCAAATATTCGGGTTATTCCTAATTAATTTGTGGCATGACTTGATAGCATTTTGTGAATGTCACTCCAAAGGTAAAGTACTGTACTATACATCTCCAACGCCATGTACGAAAAAATTTCTGTATGAACTTTCCATAAAGAAATGCAAGAGCGTTGCCTAAATTTAGACTATAATGTTCCTAAAGAAGAACTAAATAATGCGTTAAATTAATAGAATCTTCAAGCTGACCAAATCAGATTCAAAATTTTTATACTAATTCGACTATATCTCCGCTTCCGACAACATTCTTTTCCAATAATTTGGAAATATTATGTAAAATATTGTATGATTACTATGTTCTGAATCAGTCCTTCTCCTTCCCATTTGACCCTCAATAATTTTTTCAATGGTATGTATAACATCTTCGATCCTTAACTTCTAACTATTTCTTGAATGTCATTTTTGTAATTTTTGATAAGGTGGTCACTAAAAAACTAAATAACTTCTAGGTCTGCAAGTTTTCGCAGCTTTTTTTTACACGCTGAAGAACACCCTGTTCACAACTCAAATAAAAAATAATTAGGACGAAACCTTTTTAAACTTTTTTGTTCTACTCCACTAATTTAAAGATTTGCTTTAGGAATTATTTGAACTAAGTTGTACAGGCGTGGATAGCTATAATCTCCATATTGTCTCTATTTACATAAAAACAACTGTGAATCCTAGTTTTTAACATCCCTAGCAACCAAAATAAACACTTTTATAATAACCGTTAATTTAAATATTCAAAGATTTTAGCATCAGAAAAATGTACCCATTTTTCGAAAAAAAAAAATGTGAAAAAAACGGTTTGCCAACAATTATCAGATTTGAACCCTTGTATAGATAATACTACTTGACTTATCAATACCAAATATCATATTTATTCTACTTGGAGTTTTTTCTATTAATTCTCATCATTAAATTTGTCCTCCTAGGAAGTTGCTTTTGACCATTTTTGGCCGCGGTCTGTGCTGTGCGACACGTTTCGCCGTTAGTTAACCGGCTGTGGCTTACAAATGTCGTTACTTCATATGTTGTATTTAAATCGAATTTTGTTGCGAAATTGCATCTACGAATTAAAATCAAGCGTGTCAAGGTTCGGACATTTAACATCTTACCCGAACATCCCTTTTCAGAGAAGATTTTTCTTGTAGTGACTGACTTTTTTTTCATGCAACCTAACATTTTTTTCTTCCATGGTATACTACAGCATATTCTCCAACCTTAGGAAGATAATGAGGTGGATTTGAACGATGCCAGTGGAAAGGTTTCAAATCCCAGTCGGGTACAAGCTGCATTTTTAGGACAAAAGATCATTCATGTATTTTTTTTTATTGTTGTGCGTCCATCGTTGTTTCTATAAAAGCTAAGTCTCCCATGTCTTTGCTTAATATGTACTCAAAATCATTGTTGACAGTTTTTCAAATTTGATTTTTTGGATGATATTCTAGCTTTCTAGTGATTTTAAAGGTTTGCGCCATACTCTGGTAGGTTATAATATAACATTATAAATATTATATAACGTCGTCCTAATATTCCGTTGGGTGCGAAATGTTCGAATTGGCGATTGAAAACCTCTTTTCTATATTTGCTGCAGAAAGTAAGAATTTTTTGCGTGTTGCTTTTGATGTGTGTTTTTTAATATATTATTTCGGCACACTCGCACACTGTTCCTCGAACTCCCTCGCAAACGTCCTTGTGAAAATTGGATTTTTTGCATTATTTTTCTAAAAATTACACTTATTAATTTTGGGTTTTGGACCACCTATTCGCTTTAACTCCAATCATTCTTCGTTCTCTGTTCGATTTAAAAGATTATGAATTGTGTGTAAGAGATATTCATATGAATTTTTTACACAATATTCAGCAAATAAGCAATATGTAGAGGTAGCTCATATAAAAATGCTAAAAATAGCGTTGAAAAAAAATCAATTTTTCAATTTGCTTTAAATTATCCCATTAGGAAATTGAAGTAAATTGTAAACCAAAGGACAACGAACTTCTGTTGCGATTACTTTGATTTGAAAATGTATAATAGTTAACGCGCGTTTAGTAATCTGTTTAACTAATATATTTGAAATTCTCGTGCCAATTTTCCATCGTCTGCAGATTTCGGAATATAGCAAAGAAAATGTCAAACATTTCACAAAATGGTGTTGTATTTTTCTGGTGATTTTTTGGTCCCCCACTTCTTTTTGGAACTCAAAATGTATTATCGTATTTCCTATTTAAAGTATAATGTGTACAAAAATTTCCTACTGGGTCGTTCTACATAAATCAAACATGTCATATCGAACTTGACACGAGTATCACGATACAATCAAATCAGCTGAGTATTGCAGTTACCTTGTACCATGATAAATTGACAATTCATACACAGACCTGAATCCTCGTATGTGTTTCCCTCCTTAGGTTTTGTAAAAATTTTGAAAAATACATGAGTTCACAATAATGTCTATTGTTTTTTACTTGTCCAAATTTTAACTGAGTAAATGCAAAAATACAAAATTCAATATAGATCTCTAAATTCACATTCTTTTACTGAAGTTTTGTGTAAAAAGACACAACTTATTAACATTTTGTACAAATTGTTACAAAATATCGATTATATACTTTTTTTACATTCTAATCTCCATTTTAAAAACATCTGCTCGTTACTTTTCCCCCTTAAACAAAAAATCCCTTACAACACTGAATGGGAATCCCTAAGCACATCACAACCCAGCAATTGCATGATAAACTGCAAAGTTCATATGCATGTTGGTTGGTTGGCACCACAGTTTAGTTTACAGCTTCTTTGGATTTACTTCTTATTTTTATGGGTTTCGAAGATTCGAAAAGTGTTGTCGTCGTATTTAGTTTTTTTCTTTTTTTGGTGTTTTCTTTAATGGGGTCACTTACTTGGGTTGTTAATCTTCTCGAGCACCGGTATTCCATTGTGATTAGTGATGTGTGTAGGTTTGTTTTTGTTGTATTTTCTTTGGAAAGGGTTCTAAGTTGTTGTACAACAGTTGTTAATTTGTTTTCAATTTTCTATTATTTTTCTGTGGTGTAATTCTTAATTTATTTTGTTGTTGTTGGGGTTTTCTTTTCCAAAGGCACAAAAAGCTTTTCGTTTTTTCTTTAAGGAAAACACTTTTTTATTTATTATTTTCTTTAAGGGATTCTTTTTTTCTTCAGATTTAAGTTTTCTTTTTTTCGATTTCTTCGAATTTAATTCCTTCCAGTTAAATAACACGCACAATAATTAGCCACAACTGTTCGGATGGTGATATAGACCCAGAGTAGACCGTTATTTCTTCTAGCTAACTGAATGACTAACTAACTGACTGACTGTGTGAGTGGGGACGAAAACCAAACCGTTTTACTCGAGAGCTCACCTTAGACTGGCCATCCAGATCTGGCTTACCATTCCTTAAGCACTTTGTGTCTTTACACTCGCATTCATTGGGCCAGCCAGCAACAAGCTGAAGGCCAAAAACAACAACAACAAGAACTCCGGCAGCAACAGCAGCATTTACAACACCATCACCACCACAATAAACCTGAAAAAGTAAAGACTCGAAGAAAACGAAAAAAAAAAACATCTTTGGCTTTTTTTCAAAAGAGTGTAACCCCTTTGACATAGCTGGGGCTGACTCGCTGGCTACTTGCTGTGTGCGAAGACGAAGACGACAACAACGACAATCCGTTGAAATGCTTTCTTGTTGTTGTTGTTGCTGTTGTTGTTTGTGTTGCCTCTTTTAGTGTTTCTTTTGTTGTTATTTTTGTTTTAGTCAATCACTTGTACCGCAAAACACTACACCGTTTAATACACACGAAACGCGCGCATACACACACACACATGGACACGCACACTGCCGCTCATGGTCTTCTTCCCCAAATGCTCTCCACTCTTTCTTTCTTTTCTTTAGTATTTCCTCTTCTTGATTTTCTTTCACATTGTGTGTATTTTCTCCAGTCAATACTTCGTCGCCTTCTTCTTTTAGTTTATGCTCAAAATCAGAAGCTTAGCTCAGTTAGTTTCTCAGTTGGAGATCAATTGGTTGGAACTTCTTCACCACGCCATACCAACATACATACAGACACACAACACTCCAATCATTTCCAAAGAAGTCACAACTCTTTGGAAGTTATTGAGCCAAGTTTATACACTGTGAAAAACAGGGCGAATTTGTAAAATGAAAATTTCTATAATTCAAAAATTGAATGGGACCGCAGATCTGCTATAACAATGCCGGAAATGGGACAAAATGTGGACCGATATATCCCATTTGTAAAAAAATTTTAAAATTTAAGATTGAAAATAAAATTCCAATAGTAGTATAATTTCTTGCATGTTCTGGAACAAAAATTAATTAATTAAAATAAGTAAAAAACCAGTGAGCGGAGCAGTATAGTCGGACGGGGCCGACCATATGATACCCTACACAACTACCACAGAACTCTAACTTTCTGCAGATCTATATTCCATGAATGGGCAATATTTCGCGATATTTGCACCCTCTTAACCGATTAGAGGTCAATAGCTCCTATTTCATGCCATGACATCTTTTTCGAATTATGTTTTATATCATAATATCCAATTTTTTCATTTTACACAGAAAAGTCTTGTTTGACTTGACCAGCTGAATAGTGACTGATCATTACAAAAGCCCATCAAATTAGTTGGCCAGATTCATTCTCCAGTATAATATTCTAATTATAATTGTGGCATATAAATCGACTTAAAAAACACAATAAAATAAGCTTCGGTCCACTTCATCTCAAAATTATTATCTGATCATCTCCACAAAATATAGGCGTTGTCCTTGACCATAACCGGAACCTCATGGGCATTTTAAAAACGATCAACGCTATATTTCCGCCCTACAGTGTGGTAATGGAGTACTAAATAATATCTGAATATGTAAGCACCCGTAAATATTTAATTGTAACTCTCATATCCGAGCACATACGACAATATAGTTGGTATCAAAGGCCAACAACTCCTTTTGGATGTAATATCAATTTCTCGGGTCTATGTCCTTCAGGGACAAATATACACGCCATAGAATACAAATTTTGTCATTTTTCACACAAAAGTATGGGTCCATTTGACCCGGTAAATATTGACCGATGTTTATCAAAACAGGCATGCTTATTCTTTGGCCCGATCCCCTTCTCCATACAAAAATTCACGATATTTGGACCATAAGGGCGGCCTCTGGAGCGACCAGAAAATCAGACAAAAATAAAGTTTTTTGTCCATTTCATCCCCTAAATATTAACTGATCTTTATCAAAAACAATAGGGGTCTTCATTGGGCAGAACCCATCCTACATGCATCCCATAACTGTGGCCTGTATCGTGTTTACAAATTATAATGGACAGGCGGACGGACGGACACACATGTCTAGATCGACTCAGCTAGTCGAGATATGACGATCGGTTTTTTTTTGCATTTTGGTATTTATTTGTTATTTATCATAATTGTGTGCATCACTTAATACAGTTTAAGTGACGCAATAAAACGGCTATATCTCAATAGTTCTTGAGATTTTCTCTTGAAATTTTGTAGAGACATTCTTGAATTAGTGTAGATTCGAATTAAATCAAAAAATTTGTTGACCCCGAGAATGGGGGGTCCCCTTAAGCCAACCAAATTAAAATTTGGTACAAAATAAAAGAAGAGTACAACAAAAACAAATAAGGCCCAGTTTCATAGGTGTCAAATAACTCTTTACAAATCTCTTTTTATTATGGTATGGTACTCCACCGTTAATTTTTGGGTGTGTTTCAGATTCAGATTATATTTTCTTTCATCAAATTTATTACACATAGTTATTTATTTAATAACTTGAAACTAACAATATTTCTTATCATCTATTTTATTTTTTTAAGTTTATATCTCTAAAACATAAAAGACATATAGATTTTCTATAGACTAACTCTTAGTTTGTAGGCGAATTTTCAAAAAAATTGTTTTCAAAGGTCCGTCATTTTGTTAATTCTTTGAGCGAAGTCAATAATAAGCCAGACATGTACTCTTTTTAACACCGTTGGAATTTCCGGATTCCGCCATATATTCGGTATATACATTATATACAGATTTCTCTTATTCTAAAAATTGATGGAGAATACTTTTCTCTCTTATACCATCCTTCTAAAACGAAGGATATTTGATCAGTAATAATGCCGAAGACATTATATACCTAAAATGCCATGATTTCAAGAAATTATAATTCGAAAATGATCAAAATACTTGAAAAGGGGGAATATTGACAGAAAATGATTTCGGAGAAATATTCCATAAACAAATCAGTGACTTCACGAATTATAAGGAACATTATTCGTACTGACGAAGACAGTGCATAGCGGTAAAAAATACCCATTTAAGATTTTACCTCAAGAACAGAGCGTGGACGAGCTATGGCAGCAGTCCTACTTACCCGGAAACTATCCAGAAAGCCAGATTGCCATTCGCAAAAGCTCATACTAATTGGAATTCCACTCAGTGGAGAAATATTATGTTATCGGATGAATTAAAGGTTAAAATTAAAGACTCAGACATGAAAAAAAATAACCGTGAGAAAGTCCATAAACGAAAAGTTCATGCCTTTCATCATAGATAGCAAAATCTAAAGAGTTTGACAAACAAAGAGAAATAACCTCTTCCCAAAGGTTCAGATGCGAGGAATAGTATATCCAAGGATTAAAGTGAGCTTTTATAGATTCAATTCCTCTTAGGTGTGTTAAAAGAAAAAGTAAAAAGTTGCTATTGTTTTGGCCAAGCAAAAACTGGGTCAATTTAGTTTTCCATTGAATATTTTTTATTTCAAAATAGATTTTGTGTTTACATTTCTTGTTTTGTTTTTTAAATTACCCATTTATTTCTGAGAAAAACTTTCATTATAAGTTTATTTTTATACCCTACACAACTATGTTGTCAGGGTATTATAGCTTTGTGCAGCCCCAAAAGTTTGTAACGCCGCGAAATATTGGTCCTGAACCCACCTTTAATCATATCGATCGTCATATCTCGACTAGCTGAGTCGATCTAGACATGTGTGTCCATCCGTCCGACCGTCTGTCCATTATAATTTGTAAACACGATAAAGGCCACAGTTATGGACCAATCTTCACGAAATTTTGCATGTAGGATGGGTTCTGGCCAATGAAGACCCCTATTGTTTTTGATAAAGATCGGTTAATATTTAGGGGATGAAATGGACCAAATGCTAAATTTTTGTCGGTTTTTCTGGTCGTTCCAGAGGTCGCAGTTATGGTCCGAACATGTTCGGACCATAACGGGGCTAAGAATAAGCATGCCTGTTTTTATAAAGATCGGTCAATATTTAGCGGGTCAAATGGACCCTGACTTTTGTGTGAAAAATTAAAAAAATTATTCTGGGACGTATATACTTGCTCCTGAAGGATATATATTCGAAATGTTGATAGTATGTCCAAGATGATTTGTTGACCTTCAAATTGATACCAATTATATGGCTGTATGTACTCCGATGCGGGAGTAATACGTAATTAAGTAAAGGTGACTATGTGCATATTATTACTATTACTCCTTTAGAGGACGGAAATGTCGCGCTAATCGCTTTGAAATTGTACATGAAGTTCCGATTATGGTCAAGGAGGACGCTTATATTTTTCGGTGAAGTTGAGATTTCATTCAGGGGATGCAATGAACCGAAAACTTTAATTTTGTCAGATTATATAGTCGCTTTAGAGGCAATTATTATATACAGAACATCATATATTTTACAAGGTAAAGGGGATCTGACCAAATACTTAGAGCGGCTGTTTAGATGATGATCGGTCAATTTTCCGAGGGTCAAATCAACCAAAACCTAAAGTAACCAATTTTTTATTGTATGGCGTAAAAATTCTCTTCAAGAAAAAAACATTTTGGAAAATATTCAAGACTTAGAAACAACAACTCCTGATCTATAATCTGTAAAAGGGTGCAAATATCACGAAATATTGCCCATGCTCAGAATATA